GTGCTCAGGCCTGGGCAATGCAATGCATGCTGGGAGCTGTAGTCTCTGTGAACCGCATCTCCACATGTGCTCAGGCCTGGGCAACGCAATGCATGCTGGGAGCTGAAGTGGGTGCAGGGCACCCCCAGCGTTAGCGGAGGACGGTTGCGATCAGGTGCAGCCCATGGGCTGCGCTGGGTCTGCGGGGCAGAGTTTGGAGGCCGTGGCCGCGCGGGGCCCCCCGGGTGACGCTCTTCCCCCGGCCCAGGTGTACGAGGAGAAGCAGAAGCGCTGTGAGCAGGAGATGGAGGAGCTGCGGCAGGGCTACGCCTCCCAGGTCAAGCAGGCGGCGCAGAAGGCCCAGCGCACGCAGCAGGTGCTGCAGCTGCAGATCTTCCAGCTGCAGCAGGAGAAGAAGAAGTTGCAGGAGGACTTTGCCCAGCTGCTGCAGGAGCGCGAGCAGCTGGAGAAGAGGTGCGCCTGCTTCGAGCGCGAGCAGACCGAGCTGGGGCCGCGGCTGGAGGAGACCAAGTGGGAGGTGAGCCGGGACCGGGTGGGACGGGGCCCTTGGAGCCCTGATGGTGAGACTCGCGGGGCTCCGGCAAGAGAAGGTCGAGGGGGGACTCGATCCCAGTCTAGAAACCTCCACCCGGGGGAGCAAATACTCAGTAGTGGGCCCGTCGGCCTCGCAGGGACGGGGCTGACGCCCTTCGATGGCTGGCAGGGGACGCTAGCCAGCCAAGGCGGACGTTTGCACGGGGAGGGTAGTTCACCGTTGGAGCCGTTCCCCCCAGGGCTGTGCTGGATTCGCCGCCCCTGGCAGTTCCGAACGCTGCCTCATGGTCTCCCTACTCGCCTCCCCCGTCTTGGAAGGCTGTCGCGGGGGGACGGGGGAGGACCCCTGTTCGGTGGGGGTGGGGGGCTTCTGGTTCTGCAGGCTGCCCCGTCTGGTGCCGGTTCCAAAAGCCAAGCCGCCCCGTTGGGAGGCAGCTCCAGTTCTGGAAGTCGCCCTCTTGGAGGGCGGTGGGGCGGGAGGGCTTGCTTAGGCCTCTGTGTCATTGGCAAACGTAGCTTAGGGGCAGGATCCTGGTTCTGGGGGCCACCCCATGGTGGAAAGGGG